TAGCAATCCTGTATAAATCTAGGGATATACTAAATTGTAAGGCCTTTTATACAATTTATTGTTCCTTATTTATCCTACCATGTGGAACTTAAAACAGTAATTTCAAAAAGGAGCCATACATCATAATATAAGGCTCATAATGAAATTTAATGATTATAAAATACTGTTTAGAGCAAAACCGAAGTCACTCCCAGATTATGTCTGAGTTTTTCCTCACTACAGTCGAGTAAATATGATCAGAGATGTTTGTAAATCCACTGCCCAAAAAGCTAAACGAGGGATAGTTATTTAGTTGGGGTTAAATTATGGAATAAAGCTGATAGGAATTTATACAACTCTTCGGTTTTCAAAACAAGTGTTGACAAAGCTACTGTTCAGGGTAACAAGGGTGCTGCACGGTGGCTCAAATAGACAACGTATGATGGACATATACAAGCACTGCTTCTGCCTGAGCCTTTGTCAGCTACTATTTAAAATGGAGACCGTTTATAATACTTGTTGTTTAAAACAGTTCTAATTACTGCATTATGTGTGATGCCTGAAATTAAACTAAACATGAGCAGTGTGCAGACATGACAGACTCTAGCTAATCAGCGCTCACTCTCACCTTTTCAGGGTTGATCTTGTCGTAGAGCTTGAGCACATACATGACACGGTCTTTGATGGACTCTAGGGTGAGAGGGGGCAGGTCTGCATACTGTCGACACAAGACACTCGCCACAGACATCTGAGGACGAGAGAGAGAAGAGAGCGTCAGCAGCAGAGCGGATGAGGTCATTTGGGCAAAGCACAGTCTGAACAAGCTGCGTTTCACACAGTTACACTGGTGCAGGAGGTGCTTGAAGAGACACGGGATAGACAAACGCTACCAGTCAAAGGTTTAAGAATGCCTGCATTTTCCAGTTGTTCTCGGTGCACTCCAACAGCTGACTGAAATCAAATATAGCTGGGACAGACAGCGCTGCTCTAGGAGTTCCCACTTATGTGTCGCACTTGTTGGCTGCTTTGCTTTCACTCTTCACCTGGAGGGTCTGGACACTGTGCTTCAGCCTCTTCTTCTCCACAGCCTGGAGGTGTTTTTGGCTCATTGTCCTGCTATGTTTCATGGCAGGACAATGAGCCTATTTTTTATGACAAAGTTGAATCTAATCTACACGATGAAACCCTGAAAGCTCTGACCTCCTTTGTTCATGGCCTTTTTCCAAATGTTGCTTTAAAGGGTGCAATGGCACAGCCTTTTCCAACACCATCACTGCACGGATACAACTTGTTGTAAGTCATCAACAAAGGTTGGGACACCTGTACGAACTGTTGGCATCAGCTTTCAAGGCTTCATTTATTTCCACTGCTGCAGAAAAGAAGGAAGTTATCCTGTTAGTCCTGAAAAAAGACTTTAGAAATTTTTAGCGTTTGATTTTTTTTTTTTTTTTTTTTAAACCTCCGACAGTTTATTTCTTAACTTTGTACCATTTTAATCTAGTCACTGAACCTAAACATGCCTACATGTCAAAAACTGGAAAAGGTTTTGACTGGTAGTGTGGTAAATGTAGCAACATATCAAAAATGTTACCTTACAATTCACATTAGATGTACAGGTTAACAGGTCAAAAGTTTTACATGGCAATGTGCTCCCTTGGCTTTTTAAATAGTTTTGTTTAATCATGTGCATCGTCTCAACTGGGTCTGACTCCTAACACTCTTTATCAGAGTAACCTCATTTCTTATTACTCCCACACTTAAAATCCTTGTATTATCACACATGGCAAAACAGAGCCAACTTCACATTTTTACTTACGCCGTTTAAAATAAAACCTCTCAGATGGCTTTTTGTTACTTTGGCCCCGGTACCTGAAACAAAACTGCACCTACATCCCAAAGCAAGCTGAATCCTTCTTGTTTTCTCGGGCTTATGAATAGTTACTATGGCTAACTCAATGTGTGGGCGAGGGCTTTCCTTTTATTCCTTATTCTGTTATTAATCAATTTAAAAAACGTGCTAGCTTATCAATACAACGTCTTGCCTTACTTTAGGTAAAATACGCCTTGCACAACACTGTCATTTGTAAATTGGCATGCTTCTTCTTAAGGACAACGTAATCACAGCATCATCTTAACCGTATGTTATCATGCTTCTCACACCCATTTAAACAAGCATCATCTACCATAGTTTGCGCCACTGCTATATTTTACAATTCTGAGGGACCCGGCATAAAGAACCACGCGTCATTACTTCGTGCTCAGCTATAATTTTCTTTTTAGTGTTAAGCACAGGTTAAAGTTGAGCATCCAAACGGAAGAGCAGCAAGACAACTGTGAGCGAATGCACCAACTCTGCTAACTAGCTAGGTAGCAAAACATAGCATTTGTGTAATCAAAGATATAATGTTACAGGCTTTCATAGTTTCGGACAGGATATCACACCAACAGGTTTTCATTCACAGTAAATACACAGCTTGCACGCCATCATAAAACTTTAGCAGGCTAGGTTAGCCTGGCAGTTTTGAAAGGCGTCCGTAGGTCATAGAGCGAATGCTAGGCCACAACGGTTCAATGTTACCAGGCGCTCACCTGGCTCTGACCGAGCCACCGCGTCCTCCGGCTGTCTGCAACGTAGGAAAGGCGTCCGTGAACGGCTACTGTCGACGCGGAGGCCACTCGGAGAGCCAGGTTACTCGCGCAAAGCCTCGGGGTAGGCCGTGCGATTAAGCGGACACACTGCTGCAGAACATGAGCCGCCATGATGCTGGAAAGACACTGATAACTCTCAGCACATAAGACGAAGAAGAAACGGGGTCAAGGGCTCCGCGGCACGCATGCGCACAGTACAAGATACGTTTTTATTTGCTTGCTTTTTAATCGTGTATTGTATTTGTGCTTTCTATAGTGTTATTTACCGAATAAACAATCAAAAATGTATGGAAAGAAACTTTAACGATGATAAAAGATAAAATATAAATGTGCCAAGGAGCTAGGATTCCCTTCAGGGAAGAATAACAGATCAGAGAATAATTTTATGGATTAGTTAATGATTACTGACATGGCAGAGACGAAAAATGTTACACTTTATAAAGTTATTGAATAGTATGACTCTTGAGACGATACAAGTCATCTCACATATAACCAATACCAAAAAACGTGGTTGTTTTTGTTTGGCCTGACCATGATATGGTGCTCAACTCGAACTGTCTGAGAATCCAGGCATCAGCTGCAGAAGAAGAGAAGCTGAGAGATTGACAATAAGGCAGAGACCCACAATAGATCGATGTGTTAGATATTAATACCGAATAATCACCACTGGCGTAAATATTTTACCAAATTTCCAGTCATGGAGTTGTGTGAAATACTGTACAACAAAGCAGAGTATATTGAGACGGTAACGTGTTTTCTTTGAAGTCGCTGTTAGCTAGCTAGCTAGCTAGCTAACTGGTAGCTACAGATGAACAGGGCGTTGGGCGTTGGATAGTTGAAATCATTGTTTGCGTTCTGTTCGGACTTAGCAGTAAAAAGAGAAGCGCGCTTTCATACAGATAACATTTGCTGTCGTTTCATTTCAGGCTTCCGGCAACAAAGTGAGCAGACAGTCAGTGCTTTGTGGGAGTCAAAATATCGTCCTGAATGGCAAAGTAAGGGGAGAAAATTAACATAAATGCCTGACTGTGAATTATACTGTGGTTTTTTTGGGGTGCAGATATGTTGTTCTTAATGTACATGTTTGATTTTTGATTCTTGTGCCTGTGGTGTGTCCTCCAGACTATTGTCATGAATGACTGTATCATAAGGGGAGACCTGGCTAATGTCAGGGTGGGTAGACACTGTGTTGTGAAGAGCCGGAGTGTCATCCGACCCCCCTTTAAAAAATTCAGCAAAGGGTAAAGTAACTTCCACTCATGGCAAATGTTAATATTCCATTTAGAGCTGGGTCAAATTATCAACACTTTGTGTCCCTGATTTCTTGTTGTTGCGTTGTCTGTTAAACAGTCTTGAACCTCATCACTTTTCTGTCCTCCTTGTTTTCCTCCAGAGTCGCTTTCTTCCCACTCCACATCGGAGACCATGTCTTCATCGAGGAGGACTGTGTGGTCAACGCAGCACAGATTGGTTCCTACGTCCACATTGGCAAGAACTGTGTAATAGTGAGTGAAAGAAAAGTGCACACACAGACAAACTGATTGAAGAGTAAGAGGACATGAATGGCAGCAGTGCCTTCTCTAGTCCACAGTCAGTCACACCATAGTCATGTTCAGATGTTGCTTTGAGCAGACTCAGTAAGTAGAATGTAGAAGACACCTGGAGACAACAAAGGCATTAAACTCATAAGACCTGTTTCTTGTTTTTACCTTTGCTTCATGTTTATTGTGTGCAGGGACGCCGCTGTGTGCTGAAGGACTGCTGCAGGATCCTAGACAACACTGTGCTTCCTCCCGAGACAGTTGTGCCGCCTTTTACGGTCTTCTCCGGGTGCCCAGGTCAGCCTCACAACGCCAACACACGCCTGACTCTTCCACTTTCTGTTCATCTGTCATATCTTTAAATGAGCTTGGCTTTCTCCCTCTCAGGTTTATTTTCAGGAGAACTCCCAGAGTGCACACAGGACCTGATGATCGATGTCACCAAGAGCTACTACCAGAAGTTCCTGCCGCTCAGCCAGATCTGAGTCCTGCTCCAAAACCCTCAGCAGGATCCGCCTGTGTTCAGCCAGGCACAGGTTTGGGTCTCTTAATCAGACTGAAATGGAAACAGCTCATCTTCTCTCCATCATCCAGTGGTACTGAGCTTCACTGCCTGAGGAAATACAACTGGTCCTATAAAGAGCCCCTATATGATTATAGATTTTGAGTATGAGAAAAGCACCTACTGTAATTAATGGACGCTTATATAGATGCAGAAGGTGATTTTGATTGTAACTTCAAATTGCTGTGACAGTCTTGACAAGTCTTTTGAATCTGGAAATCCTGTAAGTTGTTGTTCCTAAACTGGACACGGCATGCTCATGTTTACTACCCCAGCTAGTCTGTTATCTTTGGCACAGATAAATTCCCTATTTGTTCTCCTGTGAATAGTTTTATGTGGTCTGATACTTTTTCCTGCTCAGTGTGCCGTGGGAAAACTTGGCATCCTCTGTATGGCTGCTGATATTCAGAGGGGGACACAAGCCCATGTGGAGGAAGTTGTTGCTCTGTGGCAACAGCAGAAGATGAAGAGCTGGAGGAGCTATGAAAGGAAAGACAGTTAAGGGCAGAGGTGCGTGGAGAACATGGGAACACAGCTTATATAGAACATTCATGGACCAAAATGAAATTCACTTGGCCAGAGCCAACATGTCATAGTGCAGCAAATAAATAAATATAACTGCTTTAACATCTCCTTGGTGTGAGCTGGACTCTGAGGAAACCAACTTACTCACTTGGTGTGAGCTGGACTCTGAGGAAACTAACTTAGAAGGTACTCTGTGTTTATTTGTAATGTAAACATGCATGAAGTCAACATAATATGCGTTACCATTATTTTCATACTATTCTGACTGCTGGTTGGTTACGGTAAAGTGCACAGCTTGGCAGCACATCAACAAAAGCAGGGATGCAAGTAAACATCGATGTTAAAAATGTAGGTTTTTCAATATCCAAAAATCTGATTTACAGGCAGAGGTGCCTTTTCATAGGTACTGTACTTAACATAGAAACTGTGTCCACTGGCGGCACCCGGTGGCGTCTTTCTAGAAGAAATACTGACAACTGCTTATTTCAGTCAGCCTGGGATACTTGAGTCTAGAAATGAAGTCACCACAATGGTAGTAGAAACTAAAGTGGTGGAAGTAGTACTCATGATTGTTTACTTGCAATACCACAGTGTAAAACTACTCTGCTACAACTTAAAGTCCTGCATTGAAAATGTTACTTAACTAAAAGTACAAAAGTAGGAGTATCATAATGTACTTGAAGCAGCAAAAGTAAAAATACACTGCAGAACGGCACATTTTACAATGTAAATCATATTATTGGATTATAATTAGATGCATTATTGTGTTCTTCACTTTTAATGCTGTCGCTGGTAAAGGTGGAGCTAATTTTAACTAGAAGCTTTTTTTTTTTTAAATCTTTTTTATTGTCATTGTAACACATACCAAGGGCCGAGGGCCCCGGGCCGCTGTGAGCATATGTGCTGCCATCATGGGCAACTTGAGGGTTCAGTGTCTTGCCCAAGGACACTTTGACATGTGGACTGCAGGCACTGAGCCTCGAACCTTCAACCTTCCGGTTGGAGACGACTGCTCTACCCACTGCACCACCTTAGATACTTAACTACTGCTGGGTAGTTTGTCAATTTCCCACCAGAGATTAATTAAGTCTTATGATTATACTGTATTTTGTTTCACTAATCTCATTGTGAAAAGCAACTCAAGTTATCAAAATGCAGTGGAGAGAAGTGCAACATTCACTTCTAAAATGTAGCACAGTATGAAGTAGCAGAAAGAATACTTGTGTAATGATACCTCAAATCATCATACATAAGTGCAGTACTCGAGTAAATTAAATGTACTCACTGTCTACATCTGCTAAGAGAGAACAGCTCTGTTCTGTGATGGGGAGACAAAAATCATTCCAGACCTGCCTCAGGCGCTGAGGACACAGAAGTACTCCTCTATATTGAGACCCGTGTTGAAATTGTCACCATCAACAAACATGTCCATGTTTACCCAAACAGGAAACTAAGGAAGCCCGGGTACGTTTTAGGCCTTGGGGATAAAATTTTAAAAGCAATAACATGCAAGTTTTTAATGAAACATACTCCATCTGATTACAACTCAACTGTTTTATTTCTTTTACAATGTGAACCACATATCATACCAACAATTAAATGTTAAGTATATAGATTAGCCATTTATTACTTTTTAAACAAATAAGTATCGAGAAACAGCTGATAATAGTGTTGGCTCTAGAGACACATGGCATGAGTCAGCCTTTTGAAACTATGTGGATGAAGGTCTGTTATTGGCTCAGGGGGCGGGGGAGGAGCAACAGCATAACCAGCAGAGGTCGACGCTGCAGTGGGATTACAAAGACAGCACGGTCTTGTCAACTCTTTAGTCGAGCCTCTGGATAAACTTTTTGATAGTCTAAATTTTATTTTCTTGTCCAAAGAACCACAGGGGGATTGTAACTACTCATTTGGTTTCAATCAGAAATGCTACCAATATGGAGTGTTGGACACAAAACAGTAAAGTGCCAGAAGAAAGAAACAGACTAAAATATTCTAAATGCATTCCTGTAATTTAATGGAGAGTGTATGACAGGCTGCCAGGTCAGCCCCAGGATTCACCCCATTGTCCGATCCTTTATCAGCCTCGGCGCCGCCTCACTACACAAAGTCAAGTCCCAGAATCTCTAAATGTGACTCTTAGGTCAGAGTTCATAATCAAGAACAAGGGATCCTTCCTATGTTACATCGTTCACTAGTCCTGTTATAGCTGAAGCTACACAGAACTCGCAGTACCAGTCAAAAGTCTGAACATACGTTTCCATCTGCACTGAATGGGAAAATGTGCCCAAGCCTTTCACTGGTAGTGAACTTTTTTATTTTTGTTTTTGCAAAAGATAAATTTGCAACTAAGATCCTCAATGTGGATTATTTGACCTTCCTTCACAGTCAGAGACTTTCTGAAGACAAAAACCCCTGAACATAAAGCTCTTCATTTTGACAGAATCCACAAATCTCAGCCCAGTTCTTTCCTTTCACTGACCAGCCAGCACTCATGTATGAATATAGACACCAAACTATGGGCAAAAACAAATGAAATCTGTGACCAAAATGTAACAGAAGTTGAAAACTGGCATGCTTTAAATGAGGAAAAGGAAACACTGACACCTCACGAGTCAGCTACAGTGGGTATCACAGGAAAAAAAATAAATTAAAAAAATTTGATTTAGCGCCCCAGTGAGCTCTGACAACTTACTGTACCATAGGACACCACAGAACATTAATTGGTCTCATAACTAAAACTTGATTAGCTTCCTATGCCACAAGAAAGCATATTACAACAGTTGAGTTTATTACGCTCACTAAGAAGCTTAGCTTTACTCCAATATTCTTTTATTAACACTAAAATAAGCCAAAAATCACTACCGGTTCATATTCTTTACCAACTGCCAAATAGACCCATGTTTCTGACTTGTGTGACATCAATGTTTCCTATTCGCTTACAGAAGGATGGAAGGCAACAAGCTTTTCAAAAATTAAGCCCCAAGTTACCTCATCCTGTACGCAAGTAAAAATCAAACCCTTCATGCACACACAAATGGCAGTTTCCTGACAACCAATCCGACACTCGAGACCGGTCATCCAGCGACTTGTGTGCACTCGCTGACATATTTAGTGGGTCTGTTGAAAAAGTGCTACCTTTGTGATTTATGTTTTCTTTATAGCACCGTTTATCTTCCAATAAGTTGTATCATTTGATGGACAGAGAAGGACTGTTCCTGGATACAAGTAGAGCCCACACGCAGAAACGCCACAGCTTCAGCAAACACTTTCCAAGAGTTGTGGGAGCCAGAGGTGTGTGCGAGGGCTCCTTTACTACATATCAAGTCAAGTGTTCACTTTTTCTAGACAAAAGCCGGTAAGTAACGTGTAGACAGACCACGGACAGGCCTGCTGAGAGATGGACAACGCTACAACTAGGATACAATGGAAGAGCTGATTTGTTTGCATGGGTTAGAGGTGAAAGCTAAGTGCAAAAATCCTTATTGCAACTGAGAAAAATCACGCACATAAAACAGCAGCTGCTTTTGTATTAAGCGCAGGGTAAAGGGCGGAAAGGACATTGCAGTCAGCAAACGGGCCGTCTAAGAAACTGCATACACACAAAAAGGTGAAGGAGAACAAAAACCTGGCTATCACTGCTGCAAACAGTGGTAACAAAGTTAGAACTAATACTGGTGGCTGAAGAATGATGAAGAAACAGGGCAACTGGCTGAACTAAATCAAGTCACTGTTGAAGCAGAGTAGTTACAGAAAAAGGTCTAAATGTCCAAACATCAACAGCCTGCTATTGGTAGAACCACGGCGTCCGCCTAGTAGCCAGAAAAATGTAACTGGTTACAAGTGGTAGAAGAGGCAGGATGATGCGACACACACACAGCCTACTGGGCGAGTCAGCTCCACCACTGACAAGCAACGTCAGCCAAGAGCTGCAGTGGAGTAACAGAAAGAACAGGCCGGTTATGGACACAGGTGAGAGCCTCTGACACAGCTGGGTCTAGCATTTGGCAAGCGACTTGATTCACTGTGCGACATGATTTGATCATGGCCCTCACTTCCTTATTAAGGTGGTAGGTGAGGACGAGTGAGGTTAAGAGAGGGAAGGGCACCAATGTGTCAAATATCAAGTGGCTTTGAGTTGTAAAGCAGCACGGTGCATTATCACCCCTTTGAAAACTGTCTGCATCCCAGATTGAGCTGACGACTTCCTCGGTTGTCTCCTCTCCAGGGCAGTGCTGACTGAGGGCAGGAGTGTGTGATGTTGTCAGGATCTCCCGGCTCTCACTCAGACAAAGTGCTCTGATTGCCCACCCGTGATTCGCAGTAATAGTGTCAGGAAAGGAGACAAGTAAAGGAATTTGTCCAACATCTTAAACTGAACCGAGAGCCTTCAGTCTGTTTTCATTTTCAGCCTGGATTCTTTTGCACAGCCAGGCACCCAAACATCCGTTCATCTATCTGCACATCTGTCCAACATAAGCCTATCCATCCCCTCTCCTGGAGCCTTTGCTCTGAAGGCATTCCCTCACACACATAAGCAGACAGCAGATCAGATCATCCTGTTGCGTTTGTGCGTAGGGGAGTCTGTGATGACATCACTACACTGGGTGGAGTTTCGTTTCCTGGTTCCTCCTCCTCCAGCAGAGGCAGAGCCTGTAGAGTCCAGATGCAGTGCCATCTCCTCTGATATGAAAGTGTTCAGGTCGACGTCTTGGAGCCCGTTACGCCTGCTGCGGCACACCGGCCCTGAGCCAGAAGAACCACCCCCACCAGCACCACTTCCATTACTGCTGCTCCCACTCACATGTGTGGGAGACCCTGGAGCACCGGAGCGCACACTGATACTCGCCATGGCTCCACTTAGACCTGGATGAGGAGGAGGAAACAGGACAGACAGCAACAGAAGTCATCACTGAATGGAGAAATCAGATAAGAAAGCCATTTCATATTTTATAACCTGGATATAAATGATCTGAATTAAAGATCCGTGATCAACTTGCTGCTATGCAACAGTAAATGTATCAGCTGCAAACATGCATCTCAATTACATTTTTTTTTTAAAGAGCCAAGCTACCTCTTATCCTTTTGACGAAAAAAAAAAATCATTTTAGCCTAGCACCATGTCAAATGCTTTTGCAAGAAGGCTACGACAAAGCAACACACACATCAAGGATGCAGCAATTCAACACTCCATGTGGTATCCTACATGATAACTGTCTAAAAGTGGCAAAACAAGCTGTGCACATCTTCCCAGAGACAATGATTACCATGTCAGTGACCAGTGTTTCCAAGTATTCTTCACAGACATAACTGATAGGTGTAAATGGTAGTGTTCTCTGAGATATAACCAGGGCTGTTAAAATGTGGCAACGAAGACTTTCCCTTATGATGACAAAGCACACAGCAAATAACTTCCTGGCAAGGCTTTATCACTCGTTAAAGTTCCTTGCTTAGGTTATTTCTGTCTCCATTTTAGATTACAAAAAGGAAGAGGAGTCACAGGGTTCACACTTCTCCATAATGGCATTGTTATGTTCACCACACAAAAAACAAACAAACAAAAAAAACAACACTTTAAGCAGCTGTCTCACAAGCACAGATCATCACTTAGTGCCAAAAGGTAATCTTAAAAAAAATTTAATCTCGCTTTGGTAAAAACACACAGATGCAGCAAGATTTAAACTGGCAACAGTGCCTGTGACTTAACAGATGCAACTTCAAATCACACTGTAATAAACCAATCAAGAAGTCATTTTTATTCCCCAACTATAAGAAAGAAACGTGGTCGCGTTGGGTATGTACTCTATTTCTGAATGTAAAAGAAATCTGATAACAAAAGGGGGGCAGAGAGAAACTTCCTGACATAGACCAAACTTGTTCTTCTATGAATTTCCCCTTGGGGATTAATAAAGTTCTCTCTCTGTAGCCTTAATCACCAAATACCCGGCAGCATCCACCCTAACCTTTGCTACATCTGAAAAAGGCCCTTTTAAATCTGTGATAACCTTTAGATATACTGACAGTACACCAGAACTCCTAACACACTTCAGTGTAACTGAATTACAAATGGATATCACTGAATCAGCATACCGGACCACTATATGCTTTTGGTTTACTGCGGCATTCTCTGTTGTCTCACATATACACAGAAGAGCTAAAATGAGGCTTTCTTTCCAGTTCTTACCCACCATACCCTTATCTGTGAGCCACATGTGGCAGAGTACGACAATTTAAGGATAAGCGTGGTCTCTTAGACTCCAAAACAAGCTCAGTATGTAGACAGGAAAATAGCTTGGACCAACACAGGTAACAAGTATCAGCGAAGTATCTGGATTATATTTCAACTTGTTTTCTTCAGGTTTAAAAAAAAAAAAAAAAAAAAAAAATCCTCACAATCACCTGACAGTATGTTGCTAAACCTTAAATTTGTGTAATCAGTAGGTCTCACATACACACTGAAGAATCTGAAGTCTAACCATTCACACACACATATAGGAACAAATATGCAACATTAGTGGTCCTTTATACTGGCCTTAAAGACCAGCAGTAGCGCTTATTGTGCCCCCCTCATCATAGCTGCCCCCGGGGTTAGAAATCAAGATTCTTATGAGATACCTAGAATCATCACTAGTGTGTAAGATGAGAGCCAGGCATGCACTTAACTTTCCTTACCATGCAGTGCTATGGCCTCCCTAAAGGGCTGGAGGTCTGCTTCCACAGATGAGCCAGTCTCAGCTGGTGAATTAGCTCGGCTGGGAGCTACCATGGCCAGTCGGGGGTTAGCTCTACTACTCCGGTGCGGTGGCGTTTTGCCGCAGAGGAAGCTAATAAGATCCTCCCTACGGATGGTTCTCCGACGCTTTTTCACCCAAGCCAACATGTCCTGCAATCCAAAGTGACCCATCAATCAAAAGGTAGCAAAAGTTTAACTTTATTAACAAACACTGATGCATTTTCTCCCTTTATCACAGCTGACCTGATAACATCCTGAGACACTCTGGTTTCAACATGTCAAACAAATACAGCAGGGAGGTGTAATGTCAGTTTGACCTGATACAAGAGAACACTCATAAAGAAATACCTCAAAGGCAACAGAGGAACATGACCAACCTTATTACGCCGTTGGTGGCCTGTTTGGATGCCTCGATCGAAGCTTCTCTGATGGGCCTCCACGCTTTCTTTGAAGGTAGAAAACAACATAAAAGTCAGTGTTCGTTATCCTGTATTCTGGATAAAAAAAACTTTGAAAAAAATCAGCTGGACTAGGTTTCTAGGTCGAAGACATTTCACCTCTCATCCAAGAGGCTTCATCAGTTCTGATGATCAGTTTTTTCAGCTTACCATGACCTGGATGATTGAGAATCTGCACAGACATTATCCTGTATTCCACAGTCAAGCAAATGTGTATGGCACCCTTAAGAGTGACAACATTCTAATCCATGACCGGAAACCATTTATCTGAATCAACAGAAAGTTACTGCCAGAGGTTGAGAGTTACTCACCACTGACCTGCGTTACTGCATAATCAACCTTGGTATCATCTGCCCATTTTTTTGGGAAGTATACTGCAGAAAGTTTAGTCAAGTCCAATCCTATTTCATTTTAACTGAGACAAAACATCCGTTTTTAATCGTTAACTTCCTGAAATTGTTATAGACAGGTTTTAAAATGCAGTCTGTTTTTTAAATCCCACAATGAGCATGCCTTTTACTGAAATACAAAAACATACAAGCCCTGTAACAGACTGATCAATATGAAGCTGATAAGAGTGATAATGTCCAGGTGATTTTTGCTGCTTGATGGATGAACCTGCCAATAAACACGTCTACATTTACAAGTACAGTGATAGTCCACTACAGTCAGTACTAATGGAATGAAGTACCATCACTGTAGTTGGCAGATCAATAAATCTTGCTCAAAAGCAAGAGGACAGACAGGAGAGAGCCGATTACCTTTGTAGAGGTTGGTAACTGCTGTAGCAGCGTTCTGAAATGGCACCCACAATGACAGACCCTGCTGATGGCACACTCTATCTGTGGAAGGAAGGAAAAAATGTTTGGTTTGTATATACTACATCTGCCATAACTGAAAAGCAAGCCGTCTGTCCAAGATGAATGTGACCAAAGGACAACAAAACATCTGAGGGGCACAGGAGTTTGCTAATTATAGGGTTGTGGTGCAGATCATTTTCATTCGCCATTTTGTCTTGCCATGTACAACTACAGAAACAGAGACTGGCATAAAAATACATTTCAAGCAGTGCTAGACAGTCAGCCTGGTAACAGACTGTTTAGCAAGAAAGCGCCGACACACCAACTTAACCGTCCTCTCAGCAGTAAAGTTGCAAAGCCATGTCAAACACTGACAGACTTAACAAGTTCTGTCAAACTGGACAGGAATTTACTATATATGAAAACACCACGGGCATAGCAGATTGGAGGCAACCTAATTTTTCCATAGCGAACCAATATTATCCTCGCCATTTTGTGCTTATAACGCTAGCTATGCGTTGCCAAACAAAATGCTCACTCAGCAGGCAACTGGTCGTTTAAAAGCAAGTGTACACTTATGTGCTGCTAACTTTATGTCTTTAGATGGCATTTAAGCAACGAACTGTGTCCGGCATAACAGACGGTAACACTGACAGTTTACAAGAGACTGCCATCTGGGAATGTCGCGTAGCTACGATTGTTGTTACCATCGCCATTTTGTAACTACCTGGCTAACGTTACGTTAGCTCTCTACTGATGTCTAACTTGGTGTCAACAAGCTAGCTTACTGACAAAAGATATCCGTGATAAGGTCATTTAATTATGTGAGTAAGCCTGGCAGCAACTGTTTAACAATAAAAACAGGCGTATGACAACTCATTTCTGCTTCTGGATAGCACAAGCTACCCGTTTAGCTCTGTAACTACAATCAGCTGTAAAGGTTACCCAGTACTGGCTAGCGAATTTGCTAACGAGTTACTTAGCACTCTGCCGCTAATGCTAGTTTACAGTAAAGCTCGGTTTATAACTAGGTTGCTAACCAACAAACACACTGTCCAACATAAGGCATACTGGTAATGTAGGTATCATCAGGTGAGTAGGGAAACATAAAGCGCCGGTTTGAACCTTTGTATAACTGTGCCACAGCAGTGGCGGAGTTCTGGAAGAGATGCCACAGTTTTTCTTGGTCGTTGTCGGCCTCCTCCTCGCTCGGCTCCCTCTGCTCCGCTTCGGCCAAACACTGCCGCTCCCATTTTGAGAACCAGTGTTCGGGTCCGTGTTCCTGTATCTCCGAGTCTCCGTCTTCCTTCTTCTCCTCCATTTAATGCACCAAAATTGAAGAAATGCGCTTTTAGTCTTTAAAGATGAATATATGGACACTGTATAAATAGCTCTGTGGGGAAAATAATGAATACTGTTACAGCTTTAACTATTTCGCACTACAATATAACATTACTCTCTGTCCCTTCTAACCCTAAAGACAAGCCTAGCTAACTACTTCCCCGAGTTACCGATGTCGGAACATATATATACAATGCAGACTATCATGTTATGCACTTCATCCCGCCCGTTAGTTTGGATGTCAACGACAATTGGTCACAGGATGGGTTTGAGGTCTTTTCTCGGAATTTCATTGGCTTTCCGATTCGTCCGTCAGAGCAATAACACAAAAGAAACTGAATATTGAATATTAGCCATATCTAAAGCTTGCAACAGAGTGCGAATTTTGTCATATAAACCGTTCAGGAAGAAGAAAGAAATGTATTAAACCCTGAATGAATAGAATAGAACAGAATATGAACATGACTTGTATGAGATGATTCACCTCAGATAAAAGTGTGGATATGCTAAATTATACAAAAACCTTTCATAAAAATAATAATAATATAAAGTGAGATGTAATAAACCACAGCGAGTCATTTATATTAAAAACAACTGCAGCGACATTTATCTAATGCCAGGTCCTTACTGCGTTTGTGCCGCTTGATGGGGCCATTTACTCCAAATCCGAAGGCTAGTCTGTTTTACTCTCGGATATTCAGAGCTGCAGATATTAACCAACAAGAAAAAAAACTCATATATCTATATGTGTGTATATCTATCTATCTATACATACA